ACGCGCACGCGCGCGCGCGTACGGAGCAATATGTGATGCTGCAAGCGGAGAGGCGCGTGAACAAAAAGCACAGAGTAACTCTCACGTATGTGCGACGAGGTTTGGGCGCGTGGCTCACATCCAGAAGTAGAGAAGGCTTGAAAATGCCGAACTTTTATGTCCCGATGAGGAAACAACGTCGACTTTGTGGCCCGTGAAAACGTTCCGAAAAAATTGAAAGATGGATCTTCCGAAGTCACAACTGACCACACGGGGGAGATGGTACACAAAATTGCGTACGCAAGACGGCGCGCGTCCCGCGGTCTCGGGCGTTGAGAACGCAACATTGGCCCTGCCGATGAACGATACAACAACGCTGAGGTACGACGGTCGAGAGGGACGACAAATTCGCCAGAATATGTCGAGCATGCGGCAAGCTGTTGACGGCGCATGTTTGTTGCATATATACGTGCATTAATAGAAAATCGCTGTTGACGGTAGAGATTGCCGCGTTGCCTTTCTTTGATGGTTGCGACGTTTGCACTGATGTATGCACGACCCTGTACAAACCGATGTCGATTGTCTTCACTTCCACCGTGTCGGATCCTTTTCCAACTATATCAAGTGTGTGTGACCAGAGGATTGTTGTAAAGAGAAATTTATGCGCATGGCTTTTCGTCCCATCTCGTGCATTTGTCCGAATGTATGTCGTGCGTGCGCGGCTCTGGTTTCGACGTAGTGCAGGCAACGTCAACATCCAAGTTCAACAAGCACCGCAGTTTCCTACTAGATTTGGAGGTGGAATAGTTTTTTGTGGTGGTTGCACAAAAGTACCTGCAGTAGGCTCGTGCGTCTGTTTCCGTGCTGTGATGTATGTGTGCCTCTCTCCAGAGCAGAGTCAGACGCCGCTCCCTCCCGCCGCGTAGCAATACAATAACAACAACCAACCGATGGACCCACAGAGACCCAATCAATATCTCTCCTCTCGCTTCCTCCGCCGAAAGCTAGCAGCAGCAGTAGTATAGGGCACACCCTGCTCCCGTCCCGCTCTCGCTGTGTGGTGTGTGCAACACACGCTGGTTGGTGGGACTCCCTCTCTCTCCAGAGAAAAAAAGGCGAACAAAAGGCCGGCAGCGTTGAACAACAACAAACAACGGAAACAACAACAACAACATCATCAGCGATGAACCCCAGACCAACCAAACGTTCCCCGCTTCCTCCGCCGTCGCTAACAGCAGTATGTGTGTGTGTCCCGCCCCCCTTATCCATGTTCCCTGTCTCTGTGTAGTGCGAAACTCGCCAGTAGCAGCAGCAGTGTGTGCAGCACGGCAGTGCGTCGTGGTTTCTTGCGTGCGTGTAGTTTGTTGCCCCACTAAAGACAAAAATGACGCCTCCCGGGGATGCGTCCATGTTGTGACATATATATTTGCACAAACGGTGTGCTATCTCGAGACACCGACCACGGATTGCAAAGGTAGCGGTTGGGACAGCTCGGGCAAAATGTTACTTGTTGTGCGCAAGTTTTAGTTTGCAATTTGGTGCCGAGATGGTGAAATGGGCTCGAGTCTGCTGGGTATTTAGGGCGCGCAGACACCAGACACCAGACACCAGACACCAGACACCAGACAGCCATGGCTAAATTTTCACGCCCCTGTGCATGAAAATTATTCTTTTTCTCGTGCGCACATACTCCACACACGATCCCTCTAAACAGTTAAAAAACAGCTTTTTTATTGCAAAACAAAAAGCGTACCCCAATACGGGTCACTCTTTTCCCCAAAAAATACTATTGTGACTAGAGTTGGAGGTGGAATAGTTTTTTGTGGTGGTTGCACATAAGTACCTGCAGTAGGCTCGTGCGTCTGTTACAGAAGAACGGGGGGCGGTCCATCATCACCAGCTAGAGAGGGGGGTGGTATCCATCATCATTCGCTAGAGGGGGGGGTGGTGTCCATCATCAGCTAGCGAGGGGGGTGGTATCCATCGTCAGCCGTGAGGGGGGGGTGCTATCCATCGTCACCAGCTAGGGAGGGGGCAGGGGGGTGCTATCCATCGTCATCAGATAGAGAGGAAGAAAAAATGTTGAACATTCCCCGGCTGGTGCTGGTGCTGCTGCTGATTGTTTGAACGGGACGCTTCCGCCACCGCTTTAGATAACAGCAACAGCAGCA